TCTCTCTCTCTCTCTCTCTCTCTCTCTCTCTCTCTCTCTCTCTCTCTCTCTGTGTGTGTGTGTGTGTGTGTGTGTGTGTGTGTGTGTGTGCGTGTCTGAGGATGATATTCACTGGTGAAAGGCAGAGCCTGGAGCCCACTGATGCACTGTAGATGTCCCGAAGAAGAAGGTCGGCTATGGATGGTGCCAGACCTTGAAGCTGTGGCGCCAGTTTAGTGGACTCGACGGGATACCGAACCTCTCCTACCTCTAACCAATGCTGCTCGACCTCCTCTTCTGCTGGCTGGTCCACTTTCACCCTGGCAGTGCATGAATGAATGAAAGACTACCTACCAACTATTAGGCGGACCTCTCCTTTATACCACTGCGGCGGCTACCAGCCCACCGGCCTCCATCCTAGGCTGTCGGATCAGACCAAGATCCCACGGCCTGGAAAGGCGCCCCTGTCCTGCTGTAACACCCAGGCCCAAAACTGATTGGCCTGGGTCTGTTCTCAGGCCCAGACCCTACCTCACTGTCTCAGCAGCTGGGCCCGTGTCGGACACAGGCCCAGCCACAAACAGAGGAGCTGGGGCAAAATATGTGCGCTAAAGGTCCGAACAGGACCGACATGTCCCTTTCTTTTTTTCTTTCTTTCCCCTTTTTTTTTAGGACAAACCTGTCCCTGTTCGATGAAGTTTTCAAAAACACGATCTAGACCACGGCAAGAAGGAGCTGGGGCCGCCAGACTGTGGATGGTGGGGGTAGAGAGCTTCGCTCTCTTGGCTATGGTGGTTTGAGCTACGAGCTTCATGATTATGTCAGTCTTTGGTTGCTCTTTTTGAGCTGTGAGCTTCATGAATTTATCCTTGGTTGCTCATTGGTTGGACTCTCGTGTAATTGTGTTTTGGCTCTAATTGGCATGCGTATGATATTGAGATGAGCTCTACGGGTTTAATCTTTGTCGTCTTTCCTCATGCCTACGAAAGCTCATTTAGCCAGTCAGTGTGTCTGTCATCATCACATGGTGCATTTTCCTTTTCTGTATTATTGAAAAACAAAGGAAAAAAAGGTCCTGTCCTTCGGGACATCCATTGAAATTGGAATGATTCAGAGAAGATTAGCATGGCCCCTGCGCAAGTATGACACGCATAAATCGAGAAATGGTCCAAAATTTTGAAAAGAAAATAAGAAAAAACAGGTCCTCATGGGCCTGGCTTCATGTCCATTCTGGGGAGCATCAGTCGGGTTCCTTTTTTTTAATTTTTTTATTAAATTTTAAGGAAAAAACAGGTCCTCATGGCCCCAGCAAGTCATGTTTTACATAAGAACTCACTGATGCTTCCCTTTTTTTTTTTTTTTTCAACTTCGGGTGCGGATTCACTTGAGGGGGTGGGTAAGAGCATCCCCCTCAAGTGGGCCTTCCGGTGAAGGCTCCATCTATTGGTGGGGAGCTGCACCTGGTCTGGAAACTGGGTCCACTGTCCCATATATTAAAATAATTAAAATGATTAAATGCAGTAGCCAAAGCTTTACTGCCATTGGCATTGGGATCATGCACTCCCTTCCGTCTGGCCGAACCGCTGCATTTTCCTAAGCCTGGGGCACCAACCAAAAAGTTTTGGGCCTGCTGATAACAGCAGGGAGAAAAAAATGCAAAATGCAATATGCTATTATGCTGTGCTTTTGCTGCCAGAATTGTTATTGCCTTTTTTTTTTTAATCAACTCCGTTATCACTTCACTTCTTCCTTTTCTCCTCTCTCTTCATTGCTTTACTGTGTGTACTGTGTACAGTGTACACTAACACATTGCTCTAGTGTCTAGTGTATGTAGTATGTACCCTACCACCAGCCAACACCCACCAACCCGTGTCTCCCCCCCTTACCCACTTGAGGGGGTAGGATAGGTTTGCACGAGAGTGTTGGCGCCAGAAAACTTTTTTGATATTTTTTTTCATAAAACAATCAGCTCTCACGTTACGTCGTCCGCATAACTTTTGTCCAAAATTCTCAGCGTGAAAACCAGGCCACCCACGGGCCACAAGTAATTGGGTCGTCCCGGGAGAATTGTCACCGGTGGGTCTACGGTCTTCACCCCGAATATTGCTGTATCTGGACTCAAAGTTGCCCCAAATACAGCTACAATGACCATACGTTGTATGTGGGCGTGAAGACGGTTAGGGTCGTAGTCTAGAAGAAAAAATAAATAAATAAATAAAAAATGAGGGAGTGATAGCGCAATTATGCAATATAGATTGTGACCAAAAAAAGAAGGAAAAGGTTGGCCACGACATGCAGGTTGATCAAGTCAAGACTTGTGACTGAAAAAAATAGAAAACGTTGTGGAGTCTTGTGACTGTAGTAGTCCCAAGTGCAGGTCCTTGGTTGGTGGGGGCAATATGACATTTTTTTGTCCTGCGGCCCAGCATGAACTCACGGGTACCCACAGTTTTATACACTGCCTGCTAACAGGCAGTTTGTCGCGGCATTGTGGTAGTTTAAACTTTAAACTTTTTAATTTTTTAAACATTAAACTTTAAAGTTTAAAAGGCAAGGTCAAGAAATGGCTGGATTGTGGTAGGATAGGAGGCGAATTGACACGGAGTCACGGACCTATCGTCTTCGCCAAAATAGAACGCCCGTCACCCGGTCGGTATCTGTTACATCTTCGACGCACACGGGTCCTACTGGACCCGACTTAGGGCCGGAAGGACACATCAGGGCCTAAAGGCCCGACCTTGGGGTATTACAGGCCCTAAAGGTCTGATCTTGGACCAGTACCCGACGGGCAGGCCCAAACGGCATTATCGTTTGGGCCTGGCGGCGCTCTTGAGGCTGCCGCCCGCCGGTTGGGGCTGAACCGTCCATCTGGACGGTTCAGGGCATGGCCAGGCCTCACAGCATTGAGGCCGGCCTCTGCCCCACCGGTATAAGTACCGGTACAGCCTCACTTGGAGGCATCGAACCACCGGCACTCTACCGGTGCGTTATGGTCAGCGCCAGAGCGCTGTTTTGAGGCGCTAAGTTTAGCGCAGGAGCGAGCAAGGAGCAGCAGCGGCAGCGCAGCATTAGCGCAGCGGCAAGCGGAGCAGCAGCAGGGCGACTGAGCGAGCAAGGAGCAGCAGCGGCAGCGCAGCATTAGCGCAGCGGCAAGCGGAGCAGCAGCAGGGCGACTGAGCCAGCACGGCGGCCATTGCCGCCTGAGGTACCTGGGAGCGGAGGACCTCTCCTCCCTCCCTCGTCAGCTCTCTCTCTCTCTCTCTCTCTCTCTCTCTCTCTCTCTCTCTCTCTCTCTCTCTCTCTCCTCCTTCTTCTTCTTCTTCTTCTTCTTCTTCTTCTTCTTCTTCTTCTTCTTCTTCTTCAGACTAGAGACTTATACTAGTTGGACCTGTCTCTTATACACATCTAGATGTGTATAAGAGACAGCATTGGTGACCTATGGGCCTCGACATTTTGATCCTGTTGTATGACATTTTGGACTACCATATCGGAGACCTATCAGACTCTATCTATCGGTGTTGTCTACCTCCCCACCTCCTTCGTCTCTCCTCCCACCTTTCATCTGTGAATGCGTGTACGGGATCTGGGCATCGTCTATGAATGGCCCAGACCCCACCATCTCACGATTGTATGTGTGTGGAGTGATGCTATGTGAGTCAGTCTATGTGAGTCAGTCCGTTTATCAGACTTCCGCTGCATGTATGCTCATCCTACATTGGTTGATCTTTGGTTTTGCACATACTCATTGAAGTATGCAACAGTATCACTGCATCTAGAGTCTAGACTGAAAGGTGCACCAAATGCGGCCATAATGTCTGGGTGTTCTATTCAGCTCAAGACAGTAGTACGCGCATATTTTTAGACACTTGTCAAAGGAAAAGAATTTGTAGAAAGTACTAGAAACAAATCCAAAACAACAACACATGGATGCAAAAGAAGCTTCTCTGTCCGTCGTTCGGGACATCCAAATTGGAACGATACAGAGAGAAGGTTAGCATTCTCATCCTGCCCAAGGATGACTCGCATAAATCGAGGGGGAACAAAAAAGAAAAAGAAAAAAAAAGCTTATGTCCGCCAACTTGCAGTTTTGAGGAACTTTCAGGGAAGAACCAAGATTTCATGATACAGACATTTCACCTGTGATCTTTTTTTGTGTGACGGTAATTTTCCCTCGATTTATGGATGGATCTGGACTGGCAGTTGCCCCAAATACAGATATAATGACCGGGTGTTCTGTTCGGGTGAAGAAGGTTGTTTATAGATGATGGAAATCATGGAATGTATTAAACAGTGATGCATGCTCCCCAGGCTCTCAAGGATCATACCTCTTTCGCGGACAAAAAAAAGGCTCGTCTCCTCAAAGCATGCAGGGCATAGTGGGATCTTGTCCGTCAGGACATCCGTTAACTTAAAAATTGAAAATTTGAAATGATAATACACATAAGATTATAGCATGGCCCCTGTGCAAGCACGACATACCTAAATCGAGAAATGGTCCAAATAAAATTGCCTTTTTTTTTCCCTTTTTTTTTTTCAAGGGAGCTTGTTTCTCTGAAAAAGACCCCTCCGTTGTTTCTCATTTTGAAACACTGTGAATGACATGATATTTGTGTGGGGTTGCCAGGACTTAACCGCGTTCATTTGTCATGGCATCAACGGCTGACCATTCTGTTGGGGGCAACGAGAGCGATTGATTACCTTCATATGGGAGGTGGAGGTAAATTCTCCCCTGTGATTCACCGAGACCTGAAAACCAGCAACATTTTAATCGACGATCAGCTCCGAGCAAAGGTCAGTTGTGTGCGCCATTTGTACACAGTACTACACAACGAGGAAACCTCTTTTTTTTTTCTTTTTTTTTTTTGGGGGGGGGGGGAAATCTTCGCTTGGATTCTAGTTTGTCTTCACCCACCTGTGTTTCCTTACTTGCATCTTTGCGTCGTCTCACGTGGTCAAAAAGGGGCTCTACAAACTGTACTCTCCAGATGTAAAAATTGGAGAACGCATCTTCTTCACCTGAAAGGTGGCAAGTTACATCCATCACAATTGGACAGTGGCGGGTGCATCTAGACACTTTTTTTATGTGAAGATGCCTCACCATTTTGCACGTGTGGTGAGTAAAGCGGCGAAGTCCAAATCCTCCTCCCGTTCATCACGATAAGTAGATTACTAGATTGTCTTTGAGTTTTTTTCACATGCTCATGTCTTTCCACTAAATTTCAAAAGATTTGGTTTGATTGAGAGGGTTTTTACGTGCTCCAAAAGATTGCACCTTTAAAGAAAAGTAATAATCATGGCCCTTTCCCAACAATCAACCATTGCGATCACTGTTCTTTTCTCTGTGCTAAACTATGTGAGAGACGGTTAACGGAGGCCTCAATTTTCAGACCACTTGTCAGGCCATTTATAACAAAATCCAAGGGTCATTTTAATCAAACTTGCCATCATAGATCATACATAAGCGGTTAACAGGGACCCCCACTTTTCAGCCCTGTTAGCAGGCAGTGTAAGCTGATATGAGACCCTTCATGGTCATCTATGAGCGACCATGAGTTCATTCCATGAAGGGAGACACCCAGTTTGCTGATATATGAGACCCTTCATGGTCATCTATGAGCAGGCAGTGGAACTGAGGGGAGACCTCGAATGGAAGTCTTGGGAACTGATCTGTGAGATCCCATTCCAGCTCCTTGGACCAAAGGAAGAGGTGGACAGAATCGCTCTCAGCATGGCCGCCTTCCTGCGAGAGGAATGGCTGGGCAAAGACACAAAACAGGCTATATCCAAAAGCTCAGAGGAGAGGGCAAAGAAGGAAGAGAGAAGGAAAACGCAGGCCACCACCAAAGTATGCAACACAACCCAGACCCAAGAGACCGAGGTATCTCCTAAATGGAATCCTCCCTCGAGGAATGGGCACCCCACAGAAACAAAAGATTCAGACCCACAACTGAACAAGATATCCTAGCCGAAATCAGAAAGCAACCTGAAATCACCTTTTGCTCCTGGAACGTGAACGGCCTAGCCTCAGTGCTGGACAACCCAATCAAATGGAAAAACCTGTCAAAAAGCATAGGATGGTTCGGACCTGATCCCCCGGACATAACATGCCTGCAAGAGACCCATCTTGCTGACAATGAAGACCACCAAAAAATTAGAACAGCTCTCATCAGAAATTTTTTCTTCGTCAAAAATGTCTATTGGACACATGCCTACCATAATGGCTCGATCGGCACGGTCATCCTCCTACACCTACGCTCAAGGGTAAATAACGATATAACAATCCAGAATACATGGCAGGACAACGTGTCAGGCCAATGGATCAAGTTGGACATCAATTTCAAAAAAGAAGAACTCACGATCATAGGAATCTATGGTCCCACTGCTCAATCAGGCAAAACTCCCTTCATATGGGATTGGAACTCCGTACAGAACCCCGCACAAACATGCGATTCCTCATGGGGGATTGGAACTCCGTACAGAACCCCGCACGAGATCGAATTTCACACTCAACTGACCCTTCGCAACAATCAAACAACCTAAATCTCTCGGATTTCATGACAAGAAAAAACCTAGTAGACCCGTTTCGTATACTACACTCAAACAACAGAAGATTCTCATGCGTTTGAAAGACCATGCAAGGCAGAATATCATTCTCGAGAATAGACTTCTTCCTTACCTGTGATTCATTGATAGGAGCCCTACACGATTGCAACATAGGAAGCTCCCCATATCATAGCGGCCTTGATCACAAACCAATCACACTAGCCCTCAGACTCACGTTCTGAGGAAGGCCGCGATTGCTTCCATAACGAAGAGGAAAATGGGGGCTGCCAGTGGGTCTCCCCGTCTTCCCGATCTTGTCATTTTGTATGGGTTGGAGAGGAAGCCGTTTACCTGGACTATGCCCTGTGCGTCTTTGTAGAGGATTCTCACCCATCTACGGAAGTTTGGGCCTACTCCCATTTTCTCCATACAGGTCTGTGGGAAGTCCCAGTTGACCTGGTCGTAGGCTTTCTAAAAGTCAAAAAAACGTATTGCTGTCGTTATTCATTTATGAGTGATTAGTCTGGTGGACTCACAGAGGGTCATAATGTTATCTAGTATGAGTTTGCCTGGAATGAATCCTGTTTGGTCTAGATGGACGCAGTTACCGCTGATGTGGTTGATTCTTGTGGCTAGAAGTTTGGCCAGGATTTTGTAGGCGACATTAAGAAGGGAGATGGGTCTATAATTTTTTATGTTCTTTCTGTCTCCTTTCTTGTAGAGTAAGGTCACAACTCGGTGCTCAGGTCTGGCACCAAGGATTCCTGTTCCCATGCCTTGTTAAGGAAGTGTAAGTAAAGAGGGCCGAGTGAGGGCCAACTTGTGGCCCATAATTCTTTAAGTTGGCCCATAATTCTTTTGAGAGGCCATCTTTGCCTGGTGCTTTGTTGGGCTTTAGGTCCTTGAGGGCTGCGTGAAGTTATTCGAGTGTGATTGGTTCCTCCATTTTGTTGCCAGCTTCCGCTGAAAGGCTACAATCCAAGTGAGTCAGGAATTTCACTCTGGCTCTTTTCACTTCATTGTTGTTATCTGTAGTCATTTTGCTAGTGTAGAGTTCTTTGTAGAATTTGGTAGCTATGTTGATCAGTTGTGTGGTTTTTGTAGTGGGGTTATCGATTTCGTCTAGGAAACTTTCTATCTTGGAATTTCTGGAATTCACTCTTGCTCTTAATTGAAGGCCTCCAAGTTTTGATTTTGTCCATTCTGATAATTCTTCTTTAGATTTTGAAAAGAGTTCGGAGAAGAAAGCAGATTTAGGGTTTTGTTGTAAGTTGAGTTCTGCTATGTCTATTGCATCCTCTACCCTTCTATTCGCAGATGACCTCACAGACCTTATAAGAGCCTCAAATTCTTCATTCAAAGCCCTCACAAGAGCTATGCAAGCCTTTCAATTAGCATCATAAATGAAAGTGAACTGGACAAAGACTGTCGGATGGTGGCTAGCAGACTTACCCCCTCCCATAGAAGGGTTACAATGGACAGACCCAACAACAACAATCCGCTTCCTAGGCATAAACCTCTGCACAAAAGGGTGTTACCCCGAGACGGCTGCATCCCTAATGTCGTCACTAATCAACAAAATGCACAGCTGGCAAGGAATCCACACCTCACTTCTCGGAAGAGCCTTAGCCCTGAATAACTCAATCTTATCAATGATGTGGTACTCCGCATCGATATGGTTCCCCGCTTTAGACTTCCAAAAACAAATCCGCCATAGGGCAGCAGCCTACCTTTGGACAGGCAACCCAGATAAACAATATTTCATCCACAAGGTCGCATGGCAAATCGTCACTCAGTCCAAAGGCAGAGGAGGGCTAGGAATCCTAGACCCGACTTGACAGATTGAGGCTCTCTAGACTAAATGGATAAGCAGACTCACCTTGCAAAACAACCTACAATGGGTACCACTGGCCCTAAGTCACATCAAGGACTTGGCACCTTATAAATCCCCCCCCAACATGTCAGGCCTCTTTTGGATCTATAACAAGTCATGGCCTTTGCCAAGAGAAAAAAACAACAACAACCCCCTTCCTAACGCAGACGAGGAATCTAAGAAAGGAAACTCAAAATCATTATGGGAACAACTCATCCACATATGGAGAAAGATCCTCCCACATAATAAAATTGGACCAAACAAAAGAGATGAAGTCCTCAGACAACCCCTCTTCGGCAATCTATGGATCAAAGACGAAAATAGCCTCAGCTTCTCTCTCACCAAAACAAACACCAAATGGGGACATTGGGTAGAGAAAGGCGTATGACAAGTGCAACATCTCTGGAATGAACCAGCAAACAACTGGAAGACTGCAAAGGACCTGCGAAACTTACTAAAAGGCTGCCACAACCTGCAGGTCAACATCACTCACATCATCGAAAGCATACCTCTAGAATGGCGTCAGTTATTGAAGACTAATCAAAATTGGATGTGGGGAGAGTGGGCATCGAGCAAAGAACAAACACAACCCACAAAAATACTTAGAGTGACAAACAGGAACCTGCAGAATAAGAACTGGATACTTTGTTCCATCCATCCCCTACAGGAACCAGGAAACCCAGCCAGTTTCATCAGCAAAGAACCAAGAGCAAAGGGGCCTTCATATCATCCAACCTCAGGAGGATCCGGGTCATTCAAGGAGACAGAAACAGAGTCTACAGACCCGAAACAGAAATAAACCACCTAGAAATAGATCCTGCTGAATGGTCCTGGAGCAGAATCAGCCCACATTCCACAAGAGAGCGCCGCTATGCACTTACTGACTACAGGCCCAAATTAGGCTACAAGCTCCACAAGAAACCCCCCTCCATACACACGATCATACAAAAACGATGGGAAAAGGAGGAAAATACTACCTCATCAGTCAACATCAACCCATCATGGACCGCTGTATTTTGCACAAGACCACCCAAACTAGCTAGTCTGATATGGCTCATAACATTTCGTGCAGTACCCGTCAATCTCTGGCTATCACAAAGAAGAAAGAAAGATAATGACACCGAGCAAACATCCTGGTGCAGGGTGTGCAACGCCCAACTTGAAGAATCTATCAACCATTGCTTCATAGATTGCCAAAAGACAAAGCAACTCTGGCACAATATGGAATTAACTTGGAACCAAACACTCTAAATAAACCATCGCGATCAACCCCGGTACCCTATTCCTAGAAGTAGGACAAGACCCACCCCTCAAAAGGTTTTGAGCTTTTCTTCTTCTCACTCAACAAAAAATCGACCCTCTGGACCATTTGGAAAAGGAGACGTATAGCAACCTTCGATGATTCTAGTAACACCCCTGAAAACCCCCTCATAGCCATTAAACATATGGTGGAAACCGAAATCCAAGCACAATGGAACAGAACATACACGAAACTCCAGTCCCTACAAAATGCCCCAGATAAGAAACAAGAGATCATTAATAAATTCACTTCCCTGAATGTAGGCAATGGGAAACTAGGAACAGTAGAAAGAGAAAGACTGCGCTTAAAGGACTGGTTAGTTATGCCTACATCAAATATCCAAAACCCTACCACTCAGACACAATCCACACTTACAAACAACCTACCCCCCATCGCACTTAATAGAACAGACACCGATATATAAACCTTACTATCAACCCAGCCTAACCACCTACCACCGCACCCCCCCCAACCACCGCCCATCATCAAACTTCTCCCGAACTCAACCTTACCAATCTAAATACCTTCCCATCCTTCAGGTCTCACTCCCGCATCACAAACCCAACTCGCCTACATCATCCACTCCACACTAAATCCTAACACCTATTACCCACCACACCACCCCCCATCAAGATGAACGGTCCAAGCTCTCAATAACAGCTCGGTCAACGCGCCTCCTGCCTCCCAGATCTCTAGGGTTTAGGGTTTTAGCTTCAGACGCTTCTTTCAAGGTAGCTGTCAGACATTACTCCCTGAAGTTACTTCAGCTTGGTCAACACGCCACCTGTTACCGAGGGTTTAGGGTTTTAGCCTCAGACTTTACTTTCAAGGAAAACTGCTCTAAAGGACTCCGGAAAAACACAGACACGTCAGCCCCACAGTCCCGGGAAAACACAGACACGTCATAGGTCCAATCGACAGTGAGGAACAGACAGAAAAGAGACCGGAACGGTCTAGCAAAGTCAAGTAGCAGACACTCGTAGCTTCCAAGGAAAATGACAGCCTAGAACAGGCTAACTTAAGCAGGGGTGAAGATCGGTACATCCTCCGTCAAGGAAGTAATCAATGCCGTCTTCTGGGCCTCCACGCCATAAGGGGGAGGAGCGTGAGTGAGTAAGCTTTGTACTATCTTGGACTTGCCGGGGGAATAGGTCGTAGTCGCCGAAGCAACAGAGAAGATTCAGCGAACATAACACAGAGAGTTCGACGCTGAGTCAGATGCTCTCAAATCAAACCTCTCAGGAAGCAGCTCAATGGAAATGTGGAACCGCTGAGTGCCAAATAATGATGGCCAGATCGTAGTCGCCGAAGCAACAGAGAAGCTTCAGCGAACATAACAGAGAGAGTTCGACGCCGAGTCAGATGCTCTCACATCGAACCTCCCAGGAAGCAGCTCAATAGAAATGTGGAACCGCTGACTCCATTTGAAGGAGTGACTAAGGAACGAGAGTACAGAGCGGAAGGAAACAAACAGGGCACACATCCAACGTGCTCGAAGCGTTTTTAAACTTTTTTTTTTTTCTTTTTCTTTTTCTTTTTTTTTCTTTTTCTTTTTTTTTAATTTTATTTTAACAGCACACATGTACGGGAGTAACAGATAAGTCCCGTGAATGTGATTGCCCCTTTGTTCCTTAAGTGTCTCCTTTAAATGGATTCAGTGGTTCCTCATTTCTACGTCGGCTTTAAATGGATGTAGTGGTTAAGAAACTAGCTCGGCTCTTGAGGCCTTAAGTATGGTTCCGCATTTCTACACCGTGCCATGGCTGTAGTGGTTAAGAAAGTTGCCTCTTGAGGCCTCGGGAGCCAGTTCGAATCCGGGGGTGCATGGAGGAGGTCCAAAGGCCAAAAAAAGTACTGCCTGACTCTCCTTTACGTTGAAGGGAAGGCGGATTGGAGTTCATCATATTGCATAGGACACAGCAGCAGAGCAGATTTCCACAATCTGTTCGCTGTGGACAGATGCTGCTCCCTCATTCTGATGGTAACTAAAAGGTTAAAAGTTAAAACTCTTGTTTTATTAACTATGGTTAATAAAACTTACTTTCCATAATCTGTTCCACAATCCTCATTCCCTCGTTCTGGTCTTCTGTGCCCAGGTTGCTTGGTCCTTGGTCCTTGGTCCTTGGTCTATGATCCTCTTGGTCCTTGGTCCTTGGTCCATGATCCTCTTGGTCCTTGGTCGCCTTGGTCCTTGGTCCCTGCCAAGGCTGGATTACCTGCCAAGTATGGTTTCCTTGGTCCTTGCCAGCCGTGTGGGCTAAAGTTCAACCAGACTTTTTTCTTTTTTTTTACTTTAATGATTTAATCGACTTTATTATATAAGCTGGAAAATGGGTGCTGCCGCTGGTGCGTCACTTACATAATAAAAGAACCAGTCTAGGCTTCCTTCCGTTATGCCTGAAGAACACCGAAGCAGTGGCGTTTTTTTTTTTTTTTTTTTTTTTTTTGGTGCTTACTTAGGCGGAAGTATTTACCACTCCTTGCCAGCAACTTTCCCAGGCATTTTGCCGAATCACGGCGGTTAACACGGAGGCCGCACTCGGCCTCTGGCGGTGGCCAGATGCGCCGCCAAAACTCGGCGCCCAGGGCCCGCGGCCGATAGATAGCTGGGAAAGGTACTTCTGGCTTAACCACGAGGCAGCCAGGCAGCTGCCTGGAATTTCTTCACGCCTAGAGCGCCGCTACCTTAACCAACTTGATTGCCAGGCAGTCAGGGGGAGCTGCTGCTGAAATTTCAAATTCCTTTATGTCTAGAGCGCTACCTTAGATACCTTGTGATTTTGTCATACTGAAATTTGCAATATCTTTCTTTGCTCTAATCCAACGTCGCTGACTGGCTTGGTCGTTCTTTCGTCCAATGGCTCCACTAAGTCCACTTGCTATTGCAAATGTTATAACTTATCAGGTGTCAGACCTGGGATTTGCCAAGCTCATACCGAGGGATAAGAGCCTTGCAACGACAACAGGCGTGCTAGGAACGATTGGATACCTCGCTCCGGAGTATTTCCATGTAAGCAGCCAGTGCTAGCTGTGCTTTTATGTATCTATCTATCTATCTATCTTCTTCTTCTTCTTCTTCTTCTTCTTCTTCTTCTTCTTCTTCTTCTTCTTCTCCTCCTTCTCCTTCTCCTTCTTCTTCTCCTTCTTCTTCTTCCCCTTCTTCTTCTTCTCCTTCTTCTTCTTCTTCTTCTCCTTCTCCTTCTTCTTCTTCTTGAGGGAACAATTGTCCAATCTTTTAATGCGTAAGTAGCCCTTCTTTTATCATGTCATCATGTGCCCATGTTTCTCTCTTGGCTCTCTTGCTAGGCTCCTTGAGCTGCGGGACCACCAAATTCTTTGAGGTGCACCGAGCCCGCCCGAATCTGAAAAGTGCGAGGTGCGCAGCAACAGCTCGCTGGTGAATATTGCGCTGCGTTTTTTTTTCCTTTTTTTGGTTACTAAAAAAACAGTGCCGCCTGCTAGAGGGGGTGATAGGAGCAACCTCCCCTAGTAGGTGTCCTCGTTGCGACAGTTGCTGAGTCTTTTCAGTTCCGTATGGTTATATCAAGCTCATGCCTATTCTTAGCTTTCACAAAGTTTTCAGAGATATGTGTTGGCTGCCACATTGCAGCGAATTTGAGAAATGTTTTTCAATTTTGCATTTCTTTGGGGGGGGGAAGGGGAAACAAATCCAGGCTGGAGACCTCACAATCATACCTGGTAAAATAACTGGTCCCCACCCATTACCCAGCTTCGACTTGTGCTGTCAGCGAAGCCACCAGCCCTTTCCCACCACAGGGGGTTGATCCTCCTGAATAGTTGGTGCAAGTCCAACAAAACAGCCTGGCAGTCTGGCACAGCCATGCATTTTTCCGGAGTTGTATATAGCGAACATGAAATTAGAGAGAGAGAGAGAGAGAGAGAGAGAGAGAGAGAGAGAGAGAGAGAGAGATTACATTCTTCCGACGTTATTCCTCTCTCACCACAAAGGAATTAGTCCGAATTACATTCTTGACGTTACTCCTCTCTCACCACAAAGGAATTAGTCCGAATTACGTTCTTCCGACATTATTCCTCTCTCTCTCTCTCTCTCTCTCTCTCTCTCTCTCTCTCTCTCTCTCTCCTGTCTCTTATACACATCTAGATGTGTATAAGAGACAGATTTAACATAGGGGCCAGACTCCGACTCAGACTTAGACTCGGACTCGGACTCAGACTCGGACTCGGACTCAGACTCAGACTCAAGCTCAGACTCAGACTCAGACTTAGACTCAGCACAGCTGTCTGTTGGACTACTTTCTGTGTTGTGTGTGCACTTGAGACTCAAAATCAGACTCAGACTTAGACTTGGACTCGGACTCGGACTCGGACTCAGACTTAGACNCACACACACACACACACACACACACACACACACACACACACACACACACACACACACACACGCGCAAACACACACACACACACACACACACACACACACACACACACACACACAAACTGGAAAGATTCATCGATTTACTATTAATAGTAAAAAATGTATCTTGCCACTTTCTGTGGGCAGATGCACTGGTTTGGCGAATGCCGTGTGGCGAGGCACAAAGTCAGTACACATGAGGCTGATGGTTCCATTCAGAGTTCTGAGCATAAGTAACCGGACTGGCGCCCTCCCAGAATATAGAGGGGGAAGTGTTGTTATTAATTTAAAAAAAAAAATAAAAAATGCAGAACACCCTGCTCTGTTTTCTCATGGGGTTTCTGTTATGTTGTGTGTTGGTGGATGGCTCCTTCTCATGCGCAGACGGGTCAGCTGTCCAGGAAGAGTGATATGTACTGTTTGGGAGTGGTCATCCTGGAGGCCATGACGGGGAGGAGGCCTGTGGAAGTTATTCAGATGCCAAGGAGCCAGATGCATCTGGTCTATTGGGTGAGCCTCCTGTTTCCACACTGCGAACCCCGAAACCCACACTTCATTTTGTTTGTTTGTTTGTTTTTATTGACAAGAAACACAGCATGGATGAACAGAACACCCCACCGACTAGAACACCCGGACCCAAACCTTCAAAGGTGGGCCCACTTTAGGTGGGCCCACTTGAACCTTGTTAGCCTTGGTCCACCCTTGAGCCCGTCCATGACCACTCACTGGTTAAGCCTGGCACCACCAGAAACAACCCCTCCCCGCCGCCCCGCCCCGCCCCACAACCCCCCCCACCGCCCCCCCCGGGTCGGGACACAAGGACTGCCACTGCTAAAGCACCCCCCTAGAAACGCCCTTCTGCCCCACTCCACGTTCTCCGGAACAGTGGCCCACTGGCATCGGACCCACAGCACGGCGTTTTCAGTTCATAGATTCAGCGATCATGATGCCAGGTGCGGGCAGCCGGAGGTCCACGGCACCAACGCGTCGGCCTTGCGGTCCACGGCCTTGCCCCAATCCAAGGACCATTTCACTTTTGTCTTGCATTGGTCGGTGTGGAGATGTGGTATATCATGTTGGCGTGACCTCCCTACCGTCGTCACCCAAATAAAACGCCTGGTCATTATCGCTGCATCCGTACTGCAAGTTCCCACAAATACAGATACAAATACATATGTAATCTAGGCTACTGACCAGGCCGCCCGGGTCACCTTGGGCAAGGGCCAGGCAAGGTCATGCCAAAAACAAAAAGGAAAATCAGTTTAAATCACACAAATGATGTTACAGATCTGGAAGAAAAAAAAAAAAAAAAAAAAAAAAAAAAGGAAAAAAAAAAAAAAAA